CTATTAACAATCTCCTTTTTCAGAGTAACGTATTAAAAATATTTTATGGCATTTTTTTTTTATTTATCATGCTTGAGATTCTTAAAAAATCATTTTGATAGTCCAGTGAAATTATTTTCAGATCTAAGAATCTAACTAAATTTTTAGATACTTTAGCCAATCGTGATTTTATTACCTTTTTTTACACGTGATATTTTAATCGTGACTTATTTTTACTCCAATTTTATTTGATATGTAAATATCTAAGGCTAAACGCTTACGCGGATTACTATTATATCGTCTTCAATTGCATCTATAGCATGCTGAAGAATCATTTCGAGGTCTCTCGACTGTATGACGCGATAGTCGCGAAGCGATTATTCCAGCCTTATCAGCAATACACTCGGTGCGCAAATACTATCGAAACGCTTGGAAGGCGAATTGAAAATGGCGGAAGGATGCGTGAGAGCGGAAAATAAGATCAATTTCGCTGTGCGTTCACCGATCGTGTATAGCTGAACCTCTCTTTTTCTTTCTCACGTCGTCGTCGTCGTCGTCGTTGGCTCGGTCAACCGTCGAGACTTTTCGCTCTTGTCGACTCTACGTCGCGTATTCCTGGCACGCCGCGGAAACAGCGGTGGGTTTATTTTCCACGGAAAATCACAACGTGTCCGGATAATGCCGGTTATCGTGTGGTACGCTGAATACAATGCCTCGGAGTACAGAGAGAAAGATCAGAAGCTGCCTTGGCTCCTGTGTCGAGAACGCTGTATAAATGTGCATTTCCTGCACACGATGGCAAGCTCGCGTTTTGGATGTATAGTGCCTCCGGCAAAAAGATACATAAGAAAACGATAGGGCGATATGGGGACGTTTACTTCCAATTTGAAGAAACGAATCTTTCTCGATGGGGGTTTCAAGCGAAAATTTAAAAATCAAGAATGATTTAATATAATATGTATCACTGTAAACGGATGCATTTTCTTATGAAACATATACAGATAAGAATAGAAAAGTATACACACGTGAGATTCTCGTACGCGGAATTCTCCAATGAACCGTTTCTGAACAATCGCCATTCGCATCGCAAGCAAGGCAATAAATTCAAATTTTATTGAATTATACAATAGGAGCCAGGAAGATCGTTTAAACTACACGCGAACGCTTTCACGATCGAGCAGCGTTGAATTTCGTGGGTTGTTGCAGTCGATTTTATATACACAGACTCATATTGCAGAATACAAGTTTTAAAATAATCAAACCTGACCTATATCGATATTTTCGATTTATTGTAGTTAGTTGTAGTTATATTATATATTCAACAGAATATATCTGTGATAAAAGTGTATCTTATATAATGTTAGATCAATCAAAGGGACTACAGTCTATAAGATAATTATTTAAAGTGATAATTATATTCCAGAGATATATATTCTTTAATTGAATTTCAATATCAAAGACTATGGTTTACGACAATAATTATTTCAGAGATATATTTTCTTTAGACAAAATATGCATATATTTTAATCGTTTGCATTAAATGTAAGAAATTATTTCAAGTAATTATTCTATATTAGTTTGAATGATTTTAAATCGAGTTTAATTATGATAATATTTTAATAATTCAGATTGAATTGTTCTTTAAATTAATCTCGATTATATTTGTCTGTAATGTACAAACGCGGAATTATACAGCGCATTTCTATCATGCGCAGATACATGCGCGAATTCGCATTCATTATACTCGAGCGTGTATGATCAGTGAATCGCGTGAATAATTTTGCGTGTCGATTCCACATTGGCATTACTATCAGATTTCCACCTATGTGTTTTGATACTCGTTAGTGATTTACTCAGAATATGTAGCTGAAATATTTCTGTACAGAAACATTAAGTATAAGTTATACAGAGACTTATTTTTTATAGGCTTATTACTTTATGGCTCATTACATGTACTTTTAAGCTTTTCATTTCGCAACGAAAAAACTCTTTTAAATCTTATTATTTTTTATTCTTTCAAATAATATTATTACTACCGTATTTTGCGTGTGAAAATGGAAATCGTTGATCGTTATGGCAAATTGCGCGTATTTACCTGCCGCGTTAAAATATCTATGATAACATTTATTATGAAAAATATACATATATATATATATA